TTTTAATATATTGTAACAAATTAAATTTCACACACACTATATATATATATATATATATATATATATATATATATATACACACGATTTAATGTTCAGACAACGCTTCCACCACAGTCCCCCCACAACGTTTATCATAATAACAGATGACACTTACATATAAACGTCTTAAAGGTGCAGTATATAAGTCATAAACAATAAACTGATAAGAGGTATTTCTGCAACATAAGTAATTTAAAATGTTAAATTACAATGCCATCAGCGATGGACGATGGCATCGTCTATCGGCCCAACCCTAATAAGCACTACTCATTAGATGTTTGGGAAGGCATATGTTGCATTTCCAAATGCACATTATATCGACACAAACTCATCATGATCATGAGCTGCTTGTGTAAGAAAGCAGTGCCGCACTTCACTGTGAAAGACGCAGCAAGTTCCAGACCTGTGTGACTTTTCACATACATAAAAGATGATCTTTTGAAGAAATGTTTTCTTCTTGGTCCATGCATTGAAGATCAATGAGATTCAAAAAATAGCACCGTCTCCACTGACTTTCACTGTATGGACAAAAAACAGTGAGATCCTTTTCTTTTTTCATTCATCTTTTTTCGGTGAACTATCCCTTTAAGCAAAGCAAAGGCTCGGGCTCTCTCTCTCACAAGAGTAAACCGTTTACGTTTAACTAAACATCTCCAAAGAGTTACACGGAAACAGGCATGTAAACCTACAATCCTCCTCAATGTCCAATGGGAACGCATCCCAATGGCCTTATGGATTGTAAATGGTATAAAACATGGCATTTCCCAATAACACAGTTCCGTTTCATCAACAAACACCAGCGGCTGTGAGGGCAAATACATTCTCGGGGGGAAGTCGTGGCCTAATGGTTAGAGAGTCGGACTCATAATAAGTAATTTAAAATGTTAAATTACAATTGTTTTTAGAAAATAGTTTTTACTCTTAAAATAAACAAACACACACACACATACATGCATACATACATATATATTAGGGATGCTTCAATCAGGATTTTTGCAGCCAATACCGAGTACTGATTTCTTGTCATGTGATTGGCCGATACCGATGCCGATTCTGATGCTTCAAGCTTTATATAGATGGTTTCATCGGGCGCACGCGCCTGGCCCAAAGTTAACTTCCGGTCTATGTTTGTTTTTCAGTCTGGCTATGGCTCCGGGTACAAACGCAGTTAAAGTAAAGGTGAATAGACTGAAGTTGGGCTCAGGTGGTTGTGCTGTGGGATGCGTTTCCCATACATTTATTTATTTGTGGCGCTTGCCACAGTATCAAAACTAACCGATTTTCCAAAAGGTTTCGTTGAATAAACATGAGCAAGTACTGCACGTTTAAAAATCAAAACGAGGCACGGGTGTTTTTATCACTGTATTTCTGAAGGAAGACTATCTTTAGAAAATTTTCGATCTCGTTTTCATTTCATCTCGCATTTATATGCCTGATAAAGCAGCATTTGTGAGCTCAGCGCTGCTTTGTGTACAGCCGTTACTGGGGAAACCTCTGTTTCTCCCACTTTAAAGCACCTCCTGCTAGCAGAGAATGAATTTGCATTTTCAGTAAGTCAGTCTGATTTACGCAGCAAACATATTTTGCTTTTTCTATATCCACGGGTGCTGCGGATAACCCGCGGGTCGGGTAATAAAAAATGCATTCTGATTGTTTGGGGGTGGGTCGCTGGTGGATAAAATAAATCATAAATGCAAATATTAACTACATTTTTTTTAAATAAATTTTTTTCATGAGGCAGACGATTTTGTGTGTGTGTGTGTGTGTGTGTGCGCGCGGGCGCGTAGACGATTTTGTGTGTGTGTGTGTGTGTGTGTGCGCGCGCGCGTGTGTGTGTGTGTGTGTTCGTTCGCCTGATCGGGAAGTTGCAGTGACAGAAACGGTGACATTCCAGATAAAGTTTGAAAGGAGTAAAGCCTGTGTTAATGCTGTTGAGTAGGCTAATATAGCCAAAGAAAATATTTTGTTTTATAAATAAATGTTCATTTAAAAGTAGCCCACGATCAGGTTTTGTTCCGTCCTCCACGATGTGACAACTCCCAAAAGACCATTTTTAGCCAAGCAGCACGGAGAGCCTCTTCAGAAACGTGCCGCGGCATTGACTAGATCAGCTCCGGTTCCCGTGGTGCCGTAATGTGCCGCAGACGTGTGCAGTGAGGCGCAGATCAGCTCTAA